GATCATCGATCATGATTTTAAAGCCTAAACATTCATTTCTATTTTTCTAGTTTGAGGAATTAGATGCTCCTTTCCCATGTCGTAAAAATCCCTTCACGAGTTGTTAGTAATTATATATGCATGCTGATAAAACTTCAATAATCTTGAAATTGGCTGGTAACTTGATCACAATTCACAAAGTAGTGTATTATTAAACCCTTCCAATCTTATTTTATTTGGGTAACTTTACTAAAGTGCATTTGCTTTACTAAACCCTTCGAATCTAATTGCACTTGGCTAAGTTAGGTTGATTTTAAAAAAAAATTAGGATAAAAAACGGGCAAAAAAAAAAAAAAAAAAAAAAAAACATTCTTTACATAATTTGCAATACATTATACAAAAAGAATCCATAATTATTCTACTACAAAACTTATGGCTACAAAACTTAGGCCTTTCAACTACTACAACTCCAGTAATTTATTGTGATAATGCCGGAGCAACTTATGATAGTGCGAATCCCGTTTTCCATTCCAAAATGAAACATCTTGCCTTAGACTACCATTTTGTGCGAGAAAATGTTCAAGCCGGAAAGCTACGAGTTTCATACATTTCAACCCAAGATCAGCTAGCAGATGTTCTTACAAAGCCTCTACCACGTACGCAATTCAATGCCTTGGTTAACAAAATTGGTCTCTCATTATATGGCCGACCATTTTGAGGGGGCATGATAAGGATGGACTATGATCTCCTACTAACTAGCTCCTTGATTCTATCCATGATTATTGCGGTATATAATTTCCACATTATTCTCTCTTAATTTCCTCCCTATTCCTAGCCTTGTAATCTTTTATTACCTTTCTTAGTTGCTAATCACTAGCATTGTAATAGTATATATATTGGTCACATATGTCAATAAAATATTATCACTTCTTCTCTATTCCTAATATTACATTTAAATTTATTATATTCAAAACTATTAAAATACTAAAATATTATTATGTTACAAATGAGAATGGACATAGCTCCAAACATATAAATGCAAAACTATCAAAATAACAAATCACTATTTTGTAAAATTTAACAATTCGAAATTATTAATATTTTTCTTTTCTTCTAATGTTTCTTAGGCCCTGTTTGATTCACCTTAATTTTGCTGAACTGAAATTATTTTTACTGAACTGAACTTATTTTTACTGAACTGAACTTATTTTTTACTGAACTGAAATTATTTTTACCGATTTTCTATTATAATTCTGCTTTAAGAAAACTGAATTTTACTGAACTGAACTTATTTTTACTGAACTGAAATTAATTTTGCAAAACTGAACTTATTTTTACTGAACTGAACTCATTTTTACTTAATATTATTTTTTTAAGGTAAAAAGAACAGGGCCTTACAGGGAAAAAAATCTTCAAAATATAATTTTACAAATCTTCCTTATTAACTAATACTACAAATTTGTCTTACACAAATTAATAAAATTTATTTCCCATACATTTCAATCTTTAAATACAGTATTATTTTACAATTATCATATGTTCATAACACATCGATCATTATATACTTACAACATTTTATATCTAACAAATCTTTTGTAATCCATTATTATTATGCTCAAAATTTGTCAATAATATTTTTAGATATTTTTTTTTGTTTATAAAAACTAATTATAATGATGATTTATTAATGGCTATTAAAATTACTGTGCATGGCACGGGAACTGACCTATTAGGCATTTTATAACTCCATTTTTGTAAGAAACAATCTTTTAAAAAATTTCAGTCAAATTCATACCTTTAACTAGTAATTTTATTTTGCGAGATGAATCCTTAACTTGTGTTCCGACCATTAACAAATTTTCCGGCGTGATTGGAATGTGCAGGTCACATGCTTCTTCTTGTTTCTCCTATTTCTTCTTTGCTTTCTTCCATTTCTTCTTTGAATTTCATTGTTGATTATTGAATTTGCGAATCAGATAAGGGACGAAAAATATTTAAATAAATAAAGAAGGTGTGTATAGAGCAAAATAATAAAAAAAAGAAGCATGTGAATTGCACGCTAAAGTCAACGCCGAAACGCGTTGGTCAAAGGCCAAAATACAAGTTAATTTAAGGTTTCATCTTTTAAAAAAAAATTGTTTAAGGTTTAAATTTGCTAGAAATTTTTACAAGATTGTTTCTCCTACAAACTAATTTTACCAAATTTACCTTAAATAAAAATTAAAATTTACATTAATTAGAGCACCATAAATTTGCCAAATTTTGAAATAGTAAAAACATAGGTGACCTGCACCTAGCCATCGACTCACTCACATCACAACCCAACATTCGGGCTAATGGTCAAGCACTTAAATACTCAAATTCGAAACCAACCCAACTTAAAATCGACCGGAGATTTTATGAATGTTTTTTTTTTTTTTTTTTGGTGGTGTTATACTCAAACCTGAAACTAACCAAACTTAAAAATAGCTATCAGTTGAGATATCTTTGTCAAAACTTCCCTTTAAAACTAATACTCAATGCGGAGACTTTATGATTTTTTTTTTTTTTTTGACAAACCCAAAACTAAATACTCAAAATCGAAACTAGCCTAACTTACCTCAAAATATATATATATATATATATATATATATATATATATATATATATATATATATATATATATATAGTGATCAATTAGACTTTATGATTATGAATATTCAAACTCGAAAGTCCGAAACTAACCCAACTTAAAATTAGTGATCAACTTATTAATGCAATTTTTCAAAATACATAGTTGGATTATTTTTATGCATAATATGGTAAATACATTTTGTATGTTGATTTACTTAGTTCTTTTGTTTTATTCGGTCAAATTTAACATAGGATTATATATGTTAAAAGTGAAAATTTCTAGCCTATCTTTTACCCTAATAAAATTAACGTTAATTATTGATTGCTTTTAAATTTCAAGCTTTATAACTAACTTGAAATTATTTATTTTTTAATGAAAAAACCAAAAAAAAAAAAAGTTTTACGCGGGAAATTTTTTTATGTGGTGTTGATATGTGTAATCTAAGAATATTTCTGGGGATTATGGCCTGTTCACATTTACTTAATTTCAGTTCAGTTCAGTTCAGTTCAGCTCCTAATTTCATCTCTCATAAAATATTTATTTCAGCTCAGTTCAGTTCAATTCAGCTCCAATCAGTCCAGTTCAGTTCAGTAAATGTGAACAGACCCTTACTTTATAATAATATATAGATTCGAAGACTTTATGAATGTTTTTTTTTTGTGGTGTTATTGAAACCTGAAATTAACATAACTTAAAACTAATGATCAAATGTCAATTCAAAGACTTTATGAATTATTTATTAATTTTTTGGTGGTGTTATAAAATTGAAAGTAATAAATCAATTGAGATATCTTTGACAAAATTTCCCCTTGATCGATCCTAATTCTCTTTTTCCCCATCACCCCCAAACCCCTTTTTAATAAGATTTAGTAATTACAAACTTGTTTAAGGAAATTAAAGAAAGGAAAATTTGTTAAATATACCTTCAGTCGGTTTTTGTAGGAAACAACCTTTTAAATTTTTCTGGCGGCAAATTCATACATTGAACTTTTTTTTTTTTTTTTTTTTTGCGAGATGAATCCTTAACTTGTATTCTGACCATTAACCAATTTTCTGCCGTTGATTGAAATGTGCGGGTCATATGCTTCTTCTTGTTTCTCTTATTTCTTCTTTGCTTTATTTCATTTCTTCTTTAAAGTTCATTGTTGATTGAATTTGTTAATTAAATTAGGAAAGAAGAACATGTAAATACAGATAAGAGGTTGTGTACAAAGCATAAAGAAGAAGCATGGAATTTGCATGTTATAATCAAAGTTGAAACACGTTGTTGGTCAAAGCCCAAAATACAAGTTAAGGTTTCATCTCGCAAGGGAAAAAAATTGTTTAAGGTTTGAATTTGCCAGAAAATTTTTACAAAATTGTTTCTCGTAAAAACTAGCTTTTAAAAGATTTGTTTGACAAATTTTCCTTAAATAAAATAAAAAATTTACATTGTTTTTTTTTTTTTAATTATTTTTTGATGGGAAAATTTACATGGCTGTCAACTCACTTATAATCCAACATTCTGGTTAATGTTTAAGCACTAGAATAATCGAACCCATAATTAACCCAACTTAAAACCGACCGATTAATTGAACCCAAAAGGCCAAAATTATTACTCGTACGGGCTGTTTGGTAAGTGGGATTATGGGTTGGGAATAAGAATAATAATCCCTAGTCTTTGTAAACCCATGTTTGGTTGGTGGGAATTATAACATAAAATGGGAATGTGCTTGGGAATAATTAGCTTGTATTCCCTACATTTTATTACTTGGGGGTGGCAAGTAATATTTTGGGGGGAATTCACTAAATTGTTAAAAAGGCAATACTACCCTTGTTTTGTGGCATATATATTTGTGGCATATGATAATAAAAGGGCAATTTTGTAAATTTTGCTTTTAATCCCTCCATTATTCCCACATACCAAAAATAGGATTTAAAATTTCTCAATCTTATTTCCAAAATATGCCAAACAAGGGATTGAGATTATTTCATGAATTCCCACCTATTAATTCGAATTCCCACTCCCACCCTATAAGACTAGATTAGACCCGGTCTACAATAACTTATTGTAGACCCAACTTTCTTGTATACCATACGAATGTGATTATATCATACGAGATGTGATTATATTACTACAAAAGTGATTATATCATTTTGAAACTGTTATGTAAATGTATAACTCAAAAAGTAAATTTATCATTATAAAAAGTATCAAATAGTAAATTACATCATTCAAACCATGATTTTTAAATTTTATCATCCTAAAGATAATTATATAATCTCATTAAATGGTTCAATATGAGATTATATAATTCAAAATATGACTCACAAAAAGATAATTATATCAACTAAAAAAAGTGATTTTTTTAAAGCAATCTAAAAAAGTGATTATTCCCCAAATTCCTAGTCCCTTTTGCCAAACGCCCCGTAGTGATCAATTCTGAGAGTTTATGATTTTTAATTTTTAATTTTTTTATTTATTTATTTTTTCCGATGTTATAAAAGTGAAAGTAAATCAATTGAGATACCTTTGTCAAAAAATTTCCATTAATCGATCCTAATTCTCTCTTTCCCCCATCACTCCCAGACACCTCACTCATCTCATCAATGGCGCACACCGCCGTAGCCACCGCCGGCGGCGGCGGAGGAAGCGACGTCGAAGCAGGCTTCGCAAAGCTCCAAGGCGAAGATTTCGAGTACTATATGCAAACCTACTCCATCATCCTCGGCAGAAACTCGAAGAAATCCACCGTCGACGTCGATTTAGCCTCCTTAGGCGGCGGAATGAACATCTCTCGCCACCACGCCAGAATCTTCTATGACTTCCAACGACGTCGTTTTGCCCTAGAAGTTCTCGGCAAAAATGGGTGTCTTGTTGAAGGGGTGCTTCATCTTCCTGGTAATGCTCCGGTGAAGCTTGACTCGCAGGATCTTCTTCAGATCGGTGATAAGGAATTCTACTTTTTGTTGCCTGTTAGGAATATTCTTGGTGGGTCCGCTGCTCCACGTCATCATGTGTATAACAGCCCTCTTCCGCCACCGGCTGTTCCGGCGAGGAATTCTGGGTTTGGTGCTGCTGGTGGTGGAGGTGGGGGAAGTAGGAAGGGGAGGATGAAGGAGTATTTTGCAGCGGGCGCGGCGGCGGATGAGTATGAGGAGGAAGATGGTGGAGGGAGAGAGGAGGCTGTTGGGTTGTCGAAGAAGATGAGGAGGTATGGTGATGGTAGCGGAGGCGGGGGCGGGGGCGGGGGTGGGCATGATAATTATGGGTATGGTGGTGGTAGTGGTGGCAAAGGTGGGCTTTCTGGAACCCTTGGTCAGTAATTTGTTCCCCTTTCCTTTGTATTTGATTATGAATGATTGATTGTGCAAATTGATTGCAAGGTTTATTGGACTTGATTGTTTAAACAATTGGTTATTTTGTATGTGATTTTATGAAATTGAAATTGATGGAATTGCTAATGATGGGATGTTATTGGTGTTGTATGATTTAATTTAATTTTTAGTTGAATGATTATGTTTATGTAGTTGCTAAGGTTTCTTCTATGGAGAATGTATGCTGAATTACTGATAATTTAAGGATGAATGGGTTTCGTTGCAGTGTGAGAGTGTAAAGGTTGTGACTTGTGAGTCTAGGAAGTCGAGGAAGGGTCTAATTAAGTGTTGTATTGGGCTTTGACTAGGAAGGGTATGGAGTGTCTCTTGCAAACAAGAGTAGGAGTTTATTTAACTGGATATTGGGTTGGTGGGTCAGAGTTACTAAGTGGAGAAGAAGTAATGATGAAGGCATTGAATGGAATGATTTAGTAATCCCTATACAAGTCATCTTGTGTCTTATTTGTTTTAAGGCTGGTCTAAGTCGTGGATGTTGGGTCTTATGCTGCTGTGATGGTATATATTTGAGAGATCTATGTTTCTCTTTTATGTATGTAGGAGGCATTGTGTCTAGTAATTGACCACATTTCATATCTTCGGTTGTGTACAATTTGTTGATGATCACTAGATTTAGAATTCCTTGGATTTAATTTTGCTGTGTGGCTCATTAATTATGTGCCAATTGTGCCTAGAATCACTTCTCATTTTCTCTACCTTGTGTTATGGTTGACTTTGTTAAGCTCTACCTTGTCACCATGTCTGACTATTTTCTCTCTTTCGCCCTTCCCTTCTCATTCTCTTTCGTTGTATACTGTTGACAAATCTTCAAGCAGCATCTCTCTCCTGTATTCCTTTTGTGTCAATTGTGTTTCAACTGTTTCCCGCTTCTTATTTAGGTTCTTTTATCCCCTTTCCTCTGTTCTTGGTCTCTCTTAGGTAGCATATGCTTCTTTGAGTTTTTTCTCTCCTTTCTTCTTTCTTTGGCTGGTAGCATTGGATCTATACTCCATCTTCCATGTTGAGGTTATCAATAAAAGTCTAGTGCTTGCTTTAGATGTGAGAGTTTGTGCTTGGGGTTAGATTGTGGCATATGACTATGGAGATGACTTGATTTAAAAGTTTTAAACCTTGTCTACACTTGTGGAAAAGGAATCCTTTAGGGGTCAACCTGTCCAATCAGAGGAGAATTGATTATTAAAGTGGGGATTATTATCATGGTTTAGGACAACCCTTTTCATGATTCCTCATTAAAACACCAAATTTTAGGTAGTTAAAGTTGTGTCTTAGACTCCCAGTTTCCCACTGAATTTCGGTCAGCTATTTGACTTCATTTATTTGTTGCCTACTTGGTTGGAAGGAGTTAGGGTGCACTGGTACAAAGAGTGGAAGAGTGGGATCATAAAGAGGTTGACGAGGTAGAGGGAGACCGAAAATGACTTGGTTGGAAGGAGTTAGGAAGGATATGAAGCACATGGACTTGCATTAGAATGAAGTATTTGATCGTAAGGGAGGGAGGAGGAAAAATTTTGTGGATGACTATACGGAATAATCACTTTTGGTTCATGAGCCAACCCCGCTTATAGGATTAAGGCTTTGATTGATTGATTGACTGACTTGTTGCCTACTTGCCTAGCTTTACTGATTTAGTCATGAGGTATATAAGATGTAAGCAATGTAATTTTTTGACCAACAATCTGCTATAGTATTTTATTGTCATTGCGGATGACACCCGTGTTTTTAGCATCTTTTGTCATGTCTCGAAATTGCCTCAGCCAGTTATAGCTTGTGTCTATGGGACTTTGTGTATTCCGGCTGTAATTCCATCTGATACTAGATTAGAGATAAGAAATTGTAGAGTGTTTGGCTAGGTGTTCCCAACCATTGTATCTTGATTTTTATTTTCAGAGCTAGTATCCTGACATTTTTTGATTCCCTGATCATGTATATTCTCATAGAACCACGACATTGTTTAAATTGCTTTAAACATTGACATTGACAATTTTTGTTTCCCCTTAAGCTGCATTTCTTATCTATTGCAGTGGCACTGCGCTGCGCCTTTTTTCTTTATTAAAGTCTATCCAATCTTTTGTTTTTGAAGAAGACATACTGTGGAATGCCTCCACCTAGGTTCATTGACTTTTTATGTCAATCCTTTTCTTATCCCTTTTAAAAAGTGTATATCTGGACTCTAGTGTATATAAGACCCGCTATGTACTTTGCCTGCAGTAGGAGGTAGTGGTGAATTGGTGATGCTTGATTATGAGAGCTTATGAAGTTTTTATAGGTGTACTCTTTTTATATAAAGTTGAGGTTTGAGTTGACCTAGACATCTTGAAATCTTTTGCTTATTAACTAGAACATTCAACCTTAATCTGGTTTCACCTGAACCCTTGTGTGTTGGAAAGTTCTATGTAGTTTCATGTCAATGATTACCAAATTATTCAGGATTTTAAATAAAAAATGTTTGAATTTATCTTTATGAGTTTGCAATCTAAATGGACCACTAATGGGGTGGTATTGTTTGACTAGTGCACTTTTGCTTTTGAGTTGAGTTTTCGAGAAAAATCATTTATTATACCTGATATAAAGTCTAAAAAGTTATTGTCCTTCCCTATTTTTCTTAGCCTTCATATATCTGAAATTAATTTATATTATATTAACTTTGAACTTAGTTTAACGTATTAGACCTTATTGATACTTATTTGAATTTAATTTGTTCTTGGTTAAATGGTAGCCCTTATCAACCCTATTAGAACTTATTTTTCCTACTGAACTAATGAGATTTGAAATAATTAATTGTGAACAAAAAAGGGCCTAAATCTTTACGACTTTTATACATTAAACAATTTTCTTACAACATGGACAATAAGCTGGAATTTTTTTAGCTCTATATTGTTGTATAGGATAAATTAATTAACATTTATGTGTATAGGAAATGAATATTACCCTAACCTTGAACTAAAAAATCTGACGTACACGAAGATGTGTGATATAATGAAGATTAAAAGCTGCACTTTGACTTGCTGGTTTAGGTTGAAACTAGTAATTAGAAGGTCCAATAAAAGATATATCCTCTGATAACTTGATAAGTGATCAGAGATTTAGTTCTAGTCAAATCTGGTTTTGGCAAAAAAATTGTAAAATGGTTTTAAAATAATTGAAAGAACAAGCTTTAAATGAAATTGGCACAAATAATTTGGCCCACACCTATGTAGAAGCCACAGAGTATCTGTTAACAAGTACAAGTGAACATACTGAACTGATTTGCTCAGGTCCATGAATTACAGTCCTTCTAAACAATGAATTTGTTCCAGCTGTTACTTGTAATCTTTTTTTTTTTCACAAATCCATTACTTCCTCTGATGTTTTACTTGCAACATATGTCTTTGGCAGTTTGGCATATATTTAAATGAAGATATTAGAGGTGATAAAATGAACAAATTTATAAAATCACATTAAAAAAAAAGGGTTGGATCACTAACTTTTTAAGTTAGATTGATTAAGTTTTCCGTTGACCTTCTATAATTCCTTACATAAACTATGTGTCAAGAGGGTATTTTGCAAGTAAAAAAATATGGAGGAAGTATTTATATAACCTATTTTTTTTTCTTTCTTTTTCACAAAATCAAAAGTATCCACTTTTTTGTATGTCAAAAGTTCAATACTCTATACTTCCTCCGTTTCTTTTTATTTGCATCACTTTCTTAAAATAGATGCATCACTTTCCGTTTTAGTTAATAAACTCTCTCTATTTCTCTGCTATCACACGAGTCTATTTTTTATTCTCTCTATCTCTCTCATCTCCAAAAGTTGAATTTGCAAAGTGATGCAACTAAAAAACACAGAGGGAATATATGAACTTGCATCATTGATTAATTGAGTTTTTAAACATAGATTTTTATTGGAAATGAAATGCAGAATGATGCATTAACATGTCAATGTGTCATAGGTACCAAAAATATGCCATAATATACTCTTCGGGGATCAGAAGACATGCTGGGGTAGCATGCTGATTACAGTTATTTCTTCAAGTTCTTGACCCTGTAGTGCACTAGGTGGTCGTTATTATAGATGAATATACTTAAAAGAGCCAAAGCAATCTGAGGTATGTGGTGGAGCAACATTGCTTACACTCCTTCATCCTTACTTGTAAAACATTTCAGGATAAGACGCTAGGGGAGATAGGTTTGCAGAATTAAAGTCCATTTACATGTAAAGATCTAAAATTTTCAAGTTGATTTCTTGTTAGCAAATTTGGACATTGGAATCAGCAATTTTTTTCTAGTCTATTCTTTATATATATATTTTTTGGGATACTCCTACTGTCCTACTTAACTTTAAAGGTCTGAATCCCATACCTATTTCATCAAATGCTTTTATTGATTTTGATATTTTTGCTTGGCTTCAAAAGTTCAAAGTGTTAGGATTAGCAAAAATGAAACACTATAGGATAATAGGAAACTACACTTGTAGTCCTATCCCTTCTCCATTAAAAAAATAAAATAAAATAATAATAATAATAATAAATAAATAAATTCTAAAGTAGATATAGAAAACATAGGGATAATAGAAAACTAAATATTATCTCAGTCTAGCTATAATTAATCAGGAACTTTAATGCCCCAGGGTTACGATGATATGGAAACAACTAGGCAAATATGTGCATATCGGCTAGCATGCTCCTAGTAGCTTCCTGCAGGCTTCTACCTCCTATCTTTATGGACATGTACAAGAGTGCACGGATGTGCAGCCTGTAATGTGCTTTTTATTGGTCAATGTCTTTCACAACCTAAACCTGAAACTCACCTCATGTCTTTGGCCTCCACTTACTGTGTTGGACTTTTGGCTTGTCATATTAAACACAAATGGTCTAAAATCTCACACTTATTCCAATTTTGGGTACAACCTGGTGAACATGTTTAATTGATTATGTGAGCTATAAGAATGACTCTAAACCATGAATCATGGCCACCTGTGCTTGATGACCCTTAAAAGAGAGTTTAGATGTACGATCAGAATTGTTATCTTCAAAAAATAAAACTCTTATTTTTTAATCAGAATAAGCAATTGAAAAAATTTCAAGGATTGCCTTGGGAAAGATGGGAAGTTGGAAACTACATTGTGGATCATTAGCTTGTACAATCAAATGGCAGGCACTTTTTGGATAATGTAGGAGAGGAGCATGAGCATGAGCATTTGGCTATTAGGATCCCCCCCCCCCCCCCCCCCCCTCCCACTCCCACTCCCACTTCCACTTCCACCCTTTTTATCTCTATTATATAAGCCAAGACATAGGGTTGTGGTGTCCCCCTGTCAAGACCAAACTGCCGACTTGCTTTAAATACATAATAGTGATAATTTAATTAAGTCAATCAAGTTACAAAGTAAAAATGGAAAGATTGATTAATCAACAAAGAATCATAGAAAAGAAAATTAACAAATTAATTATTTGAATTAAATCCAAAAATAAAAAAAATTACATTATTAATCTATGTAAGTTAGTAAAATTAATCAATAAATAAATGTAAAGATACTTATTTTCAATTAATCAATTATTATTTATACAATCAAGATCATCTCATTTGATTTCAATAGCTAATATAGGAAAGAGGAAGATGATGTCTTCTTTCCAAAAACTATTATCTAAAGTTATGATTATCCAATATATTAATAGTTATGGTATTGTTTTATACTTCCTTCGTTTCTTTTTCGTTGACACTTTTACCATTAATATCTTTAATTACAAATAAACAAAAATTAAAAAGAGTTGATATTTTGAAAATATATATTGTGATAATTCTAACAAGATCCAACTTGAATATATTTTTCATTACGTATAAATAAAAAAAAAATGGTAAGTGTGTGAATAATGCTATAGTCAAAACATGTCAACTAAATAAAGAAAGTAGTATTAATATTGAGGTTCATATACATCAGCACAAAAAATATTAACCATGATCACTCACTACCATATTGTTAGTTAGGATACCAAGCTCAACTACCTACCTTCACCCTTTCATATTTACGAATTATTTTAATCTAATATAGTATCTTTTGTATTTTTACCTCATAGTATTCATGTCATAAAATCAAACAAGTATTAGATAGTTATTATCAATACAATAAATATTAAAATACATTGAAACATATCTAATAAGATCCCACACGATAACCCCCCCCTCCCCTCTCTTTAAGTATATATTACTGAAAGTATAGTCTATACTATTGAAATTTGACCTACAAATATCTGAATTAGTGTTGGATTGCAATTTCCTACGTATTTTGGTAAGTTGGGCCAAATATTACCAATACGCATAATCCACCTTATCCGGTTTCACACTTCACAAGGGGTAGGGGCAATTTAGGTAAAACAGCTTCAAATTGTATGTTTTAAATAAAAACTTGACCTATTATGTTTTTATCTTCCTAAATGTTATAGCTTAAATAACAGAAGTGAATATGATCCGTTTAGTAATTGTGATCTGCGATGCAGCTTTTGGAAAATAAAACTTGCTTAACCTTTAAATATGTATTTAACCTACTTGGAATCCATACTTAATAAGATTCTTGTAGGATCCACACACAAGGAAATAACAAGCATACTTCCAAAAGAGAAAGATTATGGATATGGGAAGACTGTCTGGGACTTGTGTCGTTGTGTCTAGAACAGGGTCCCTATATCTTGAACTTTTTTGTTCCAAAGATTGGATTCTCGGATAGCACCTGGACAGGATCCTTATCCCCATGTTAAAGTAACATATAGACTGTCAGAGCAACAGGAGAGAGCCTAGTTTGAAATGAGGACCGTTTCATTGTTATCTCTACCATATTAGTTGGTATATTATAAGTTCTGTCAAATGATTATGAATAAAAATAGGCTTTTGTCTTAGGAGGCTACTTTGGACTCAACAGAATTTGGTACCATACATGTTGCTGTTGTGTCCCTGAAAATATATTGGATAATGTCTTTTTTATAAGAACCTTAAGATGCTTATGTTATTATTCTATGGATACCCTGAAACCATGGTCATGTAAAATTAATATGAGCTGTGGGATGGGCTGTAATAAATCTCGTATGCAAGTAGGATGCAGTATCTTTTTGTTGAACTTTCCATTTTTGAGTGACTCCCTGATACGAGTGTTGTACATTTACTTGTTTCACTACTGTGCAGCACTGCACTCTATCCATTTTTTCATATCTAGTAAGTCATTTACCATCCAATCAATGAATCTTTGCTTTTTAGGAAGCTAGTATTCCATGTGAAACTTTGTGTTACTTATTGTATGGATCCTCAGTGTTAAATATATGTAACTGATTTCACCTATTGGACATAGGCATTGTTCCATTTGATTTCTCTTCCATATGTTGTTTCTATTATTTATCTCCTTGACGTGTTTGTTTTATTACTGATGGTCTTCATATGCAGAAAAGAAATCTGATGGAAGATCAAGAGTTAATCCTGAAGCTGACAATCAACAACTAATGCAATTGGAAGAGAAAGATGTAGTATCATCTGTAGCTACAGTGTTGTCTGATCTGTGTGGTCCAGGTGAATGGATGCCCATGGAGAAACTTCATACGGAGGTCAGTTCTTGTACAAATATTGAAATACCTCATTGTTTGATTAATAATTAAGTTTGAATGTGTTTTATATTCTTAGGACTTATTGGATTCTTTTATGATAAATGTTTTTCTTTACTTGCTTTGTACTCAACACAGTAATATGATGTGCCAATGTAGGAATTCAGAATTTTAAGGCTCTGTTTGTTTTGGCGGAAAACCTTTTCCTAGAAAATGATATCTCCATTTTCCTTTGTTTGTTTTGTTATAGGGTGAAAAACAATTTTCTCATAGGTAGAAAGTTGCTTATTAAAATAGGAAAACCATTTTCATTTTGTTAAGAAGGCATGCTAGATTTTCCTCTTTTACTCCCCTTCACTATTTTCTCTCCTCTATCCTTCCCCTCCCTTTTACTTCCATTTTCTTTATTTTTCTATAGTTTTCCTACAATCAAACATACAAAAGGAAAAACTTTTTCACAATCATGCTTTCCTTTGAAAACTGTTTTCCTTAGAATATCTCTTTAAAATGTTTTCCATCAAAACAAACGGAGCCTAAGATAATAAATGATTTTCTTTACTTGCATTTTGGTTTGTGCATTTCTGCAGAATTGTAAATGGTGCAATCACATCCTAATTAACTTTTTTGGATGTCATATGTCAGCAGTGTACAAGTCTAGATGTGTGTATATGGTCTATTCGATTACTTGAGCTAGTATGTATTTCGTAAGTGGTAGAGCCAATCTTATTTTTCACAATCCAGTAAACCTTTTTTTTTTGGGGAGTTGTTATTATGCAGTTTTTACACTAATACTTTTAAAACAAACCATAAACATTACTATCTTTTTTTGCCTCTTTCTCTTCAATAATAAAAAAAATGAATTTCTATATTTTAAGTTACAATCTTATATCACATTTATTTTATAAATTCTTATTAACCTTCAACCTCATGATCAGTAAACCCACTCACCATCCAGTATTTTTTCATTTGCCAATTGCCACCACCAGTCAAAAAAAGTCTACAAAGAACTTGTGCATTGCTCAAAAAAAAAAAAAAAAAAAAAAACACTAGTTTATCTAAATACTGATTGATTTTCTAATTTTTGTAGTTCTTTCTCTCTCTTTCTTTTGATGTCATTTGGATGAGCTATTTTGTCTGTGCACTTGGCAGAATTTATCTATTTTCATACGGGGTATTTCTGTACGAATTAAGTCAGTGTCTTTCCATTGACTGTCCTTGTTGCACCCCTGGTTGAAGCACTACTAAGTCTACTATTGACTTCAGTTGTTTAGTTTTGACATGGGTCTCATCAGGGTTTCAATTATGACCAAGATAATAATCTCTACAATGTTTTTACCCTTCATAAATTCTAAAATAAGCATAGTGAGGCTTATTACTTTATTATTATGACTGTATGAGTAAACATTAGCCTGCAGAATTCTTAAGTCTTGCAAACAAGAGGAGCAAAAAAGGATTAGAAGAATAAAGTGTTTGTTTGCGGGTGTGCATAGAGAGGGTCTTTGGGGGAGGTTTAATCTGTGTATAAGCATCATAGCTGGATTTGACAATTCTCAATGGCTCATAATACATGGGACTTGGCAGCTTTGATAAGCATTGCAAGCAAAGAATCAAGTGTTTGTGTGCGGGTGTGCATAGAGAGGGGCTTTTGGGGAGGTTTAATCTGTGTATAAGCAGCAATTAGACATTTTGGAGGATATTTGCACAACTATACTTAGGTTTCAAGCAATTTGTTTTTTTTTTTTTTTTTTTTTTTTTTTGGGTTGCTGATCATCATCTGATTCTTCTCATATTGTCTTCTACTCAGATGATCTTTCCCTCCCACCTCAGTCTTTTCCTAATGATAGGAATTAGTGTTTTACAGTTGTGCTGGATGGAGTATCAGTTATCTACTACTGTGTAGTAAATATGATTTCCATCCTATATAATATGTTTGTTTTGAAGTAGGTTATGGGCGTATGGCATATGTTGTTTGTTTGTCAAATTTATGTTGTGTACTATTCTATGCAGCTAATGGAGCAATATGGTAGTGTTTGGCATCATACCCGTGTAAGGAGGTATCTCTCATCTGAGGACTTTTCAAGTCAAGATTCTAAAGGAAAACCATGGGATGGCTTGCTGGCATTGCTGAGAAAATATCCAGAACATTTTGTCATCAATACGCGATCCAAGAACCGTGTAACATTGGAGTTTGTTTCTCTCGTGTCTCTTCTTTCCTGAGATTGTTTAGCATTAGGCAAACCCATGTGTATCCTAGTTAGATCCTAATTAGCTGGTTGGCTCATACATAAACCCCATACGCGAAAGTTGATAGTGTTTGTGTTTAAACTGCTTTCGCTGCTTTGGCTATGTTTGAGAACTGAGAATCTAGCCTTTCATCACCTGCAGCATGACCGCCAAGATACTTTGCTTAGTGTATAAAGAAGTTTCAGCAGGAAATGTTGATTGACAGAAGCAACTGCTTATGGTGGGATACAGTTTGAAAGTTACCAGTTGGCTCTAATCTATTAATCAGTTAAGATTGCTAATTTATCATGATGTAAACTTGTAGGTTGTGTTGAAGTACAGCAATGCCCTTGGGTCGGGGGCCTAAATTACATTTTTTTTCTTTTTTTTTTTAAATTTTTGAAGAAACGGTCATTCTTATTTTGATTCTAGCATCCATCCCACTGTATTTCCTTCATTTAGATTTGGACTAGTATAATCCTGCTCAAAAACAGATGTAGTTCATCTATCATTATTCTTTTAGCATCCATCGAAAGTCCGAAGCTTCATTGAAAGGTTGAAACATACTGTCTTCTCGTAAGTGTGTAAAATACTCTTTGACAATGAGCGAAGGAATGTTTACCTTTTTAAAGATTAATTTCAGCTTTAGCGACTTTGATTTGCTTGATTGCCATCATGAAATTCTCACTAATTTGCAGGAAAACCCCTTCAATTTGATAAACATCAGAATGGTGGGTGGGGGGATTTTAACTTTGTGAGGATTGAAGGTGTAAGAACTACCGAGTCCAACACAAGATAACTGTTGTGTTTAGTGAAGGAGCTGCAAAGCGAAAACAAAAGTTACTCAAATTGACCATGCCAATTATTCTAATTGTAATTGCTTAAGAATTGAAGGGCGGTGTCAAATTTTTACGATATTTTTGTGAATTACTACCTCAAACAGAGGGCATTTGTGAATTACTACCCCTTAAAAAAGTTGTTAACTACTACCTATAAAACCGATTAATTTTAGTAACTATTATCTTTTCCCTAATTAGCCACTTAAGATTTTAATGACATAATTATTTGATGAAATTGTAATTAGTAGCTTTAAAAACCTTAATTAATTATATAAATCTAGCACCACCTCCGGCAACTCCCCTTTACTACCTCCGGCAACTCCCCCACCTTCAATCCCCTCTTGGTCATCCATCACGAAACCTATCCTCTCCCGCTCTCCCACCGCAATTATCCCCCTTTCCATTGCCCCAACCCTTAAAATCCACCCCCTTCCCTTTTCCCAAACCCCGATTACCACTTCTTCCCTTCCCCCAAGCCCCGGAAACAACCTAACCACGTGATGGGGAGGGGCACTAAATAAAAATAAATAAATAAAATGCTTTTATAAAGACTTGAACCCTAAAATTTTCACCAAACTCAATGAATTACCACTATGACAAAGCTAATTTGATGTTATTTATTGCATTAAATTTGTATTTAACCTATTAATTTACAACTTTAACTTAAAAAATTAATAAAAAAAAAATGGAGGGGCCGATGCCACCCAGGCTCCCTTAATAGCTCCGCCACTGGTGAGGGGTGAGTGTTGGGGTGGCCATGGTAGTGGACTGGTGGCTTGAGAAGAATTGTAGTTAAAAAAGAAAAGAAAAATTGAACTTGTTTAACAGGTTGTAGGTCAATGAGATCGTTAGTGGAAGAACTATATCAAAGGTGGGATTGTTTCTGGAATTTCAAAAAATGGGATTGTTTATGAAACATCGACTAAAGGTTAGATTACATTTTTCCAAGAAAAAAAACTAATCTTATCTTAAATTATTTAAACTTAGGGCATATTCTCATTGACTGAACTCAGCTGAACTGAACCTGAAATAAATATTTTATAAGAGAAGGAAATTAAAAGCTGAACTGAATTGAATTTCAACGTATGAGAACAGTCAAACAGACCCTTAGTGCACCCAAAATCATAGGAACTTATTTTGTTTAACTCACCTACTCGTAAGATCTAATCTTTCTACTTCTTCGTCTCCAAATAAAATTATCTCCAATTATCTTTAATCGGTCAGTGTTGTAAAGTTGGGTATAACTTTAGTCCGGCTTTAACCTAAAACTGAACAGCCTCGTTCCTTTACAAGCCAAGCCGTTTGGCAATAAACACTGAAAATTACAGAACAACGTTTTCTCTTCATTCAGTTCATTGTTTTCTTCAATCTAACATATATTCTCTACCCTCTGCATCTTCTAAGGTAAGATGTTTCTTTTGCTTTTATTCGTCTAACATCAATTTCGCAATCTAGGTTTTGTCTCGTTAATTTAATTTCAATTTAGGGTTCTTCTAAGGTGGATTACTGAAATGCTATAATTTTTTTGATTCATACTCTTAGGCTACAAGAATCAATTTGATTTTTGAATCTTACTTATGATTAATATGTTTGTTTTGAGTGATTTGTGATTATTCTAGTTAATGGGTTGTATATACAAGGATCTTTAGCCGTATTTTTATGTGTTATGCAGAATTTCTTGCATTGATTATGTTTAGTATGAGGATACTTAGTGCAGTGGTTCATCGAACAATGGATGCATTATGGTTGAATTAACTTCTATGTTAAATTTATGATTGATTTGGTTGATTTTCAATGATTTTTGTTTTATCGATCATATTATAATCTAGATCTGCTATGGACTTTGAATCAAATCTGTGTGTGGTCGTATCACTCGTATGAACGAAAGTTTGTTGCCGATTTTTAATGGTACGATGGAGGTTTGATGTTATCTTATTCCTTGGCCAACAGTGTCTTGCATTCTACTTCTTAAAGTTTTTAATTCTATGAATAATTGTAGTCCTTGCTTCTCGACCACCTATTGATTTGTTTTCGGCCTGTCTGAGATTTTTTTTTTTTATGATATGTTCGTTGAGCAATTGTTAGAACCTGCCAAATGATGAAATATACATACTGCGCAAGGGCTTTGAACTCGTCTATTGATGAGGCTATGTAAAGAAAAATGACTATATTATCTGATGGCAGTGACAAAATTTCCTGATTTTATGTCAAAATGACGGTGATAAGAAGTTGATCAGTATGAACTTATAATTGTGTGTTCTTTATTGATTCATGTGGATTTATTTCATTTAAGCTACTATTTTTTTTTTCTTTGTTAAGGTTTAGACTAGAAACTTGATGGGTGATTCGGGAGAATAATAACTGTATCGCTGTTTAAAGAATATTAAGATAATATCTGAAATTGGCTAATTGGAACCCTTTAAATATGGATTTTTGTGCAAATAAATTTATTTCAAATGAGGGCTTAACAAAAAAACAAAAACCTTTATTATATTTCATCACCTGAGCACAAGACATCAACAATATGGTTAAAATGAAGAATATAAAAAGCATGGTTTGGAATTTGTATTGCTTGAAAATTTTGCATGGATTTATATGCTTGATCATTTGATTTAATTTGAGTTTTGAAGTGTTTCGGTTGTTGCATAGTAAATGATCGTCCACTTTGAATTCATGATTGCCACGAAGAGTTCATATAACACGAGTTCGGATTTGTGTTGGTCTAAATTTGAAGTTTTGATACTGAAGTTCAGGCTGCAAGGCTTCGAGGCTGAGCATAATAGTATAGATCATTGTGATGTTTCCTTAGAGTTACTTCTCCCCTTGCTAATTGGTGTTGGAATGGGACCTAATATGGGATTGTAGGTGGCTTGACTCTCCTACTTCATGGATGCAGCCCAGGCCCCTTTATAATTTAAACATCATGAGCTGCCAAATGATGATATCTGAACATTGCGCATGGGCTTTGAGTTCATTTATTAAAATGGCATGAAAATTTGTTAGAATCTGATGGCAGCAGTTTATTTGAATTTTGGCAATAATTAGCATCAAGCCATTATGTGGTTTATTTCCGACTATATCCCTTTGCTTGTCTTATGTATTTTGGCTTGCTTATTTTAATGACTAAATGCCTTTTCCCCTCTGTCCTATATTAGTCATCCTGTAACTTGTGAAACCCTATATTTACTGATTAGAATCAGCACTTTTTCTTTGGGATGGAATCTCATTTGGGATTGTAATTTGTAAGAGGGTTGCTCTCCTTCATGGATGGAGTCCAAGCTACTTTGATTTTTCTTAGAACTTAACACAATTTGAGCTGCCGAATGATGATATCTGAACATTTGCGCAAGGGCTTTGAGTTCAGTTTTTTAAAATGACCGTGAAAATTTGTTAGGATCTGATGGCAGCAGTTCATTAAGTTGCGTCCATATTAAGCACCAAGTGTTTTATCACTTACTGTATCCCTTTGTTTGTCTTATGCACTGTGGCTTGCTTATCTGAATGACTAAATGCCTTTTTTTATCTTATATCCTTCTATATCAATCTGACTTACAAATTCCTTAATCTAATGAGTGGGGATCAACTACTAATTTGACTGCCCTCCTCTCTCTCAAAATATGTAATATGAATTTATGATTGTTTTTATTTATGTGGGTGATTCTTTGGTTCAATACTTGGTTTTTTTTAATTTTTAAATTTTTTTTCCCTATTGAATGAAGCGTATTTTAAAGGTTTTGTCTGTATGGCCATTGCCGAAATTCCAGATTAATGATTCTTTACTGGTTTATCATCTACTGAGTGAAATCAGCTAACCATTTGACTCCTCCCTCCCCCCCCCCCCTCCTTTTTTAAAAAAGGATATATTATAATGGTTTCATCTACTGAGTGGAATTAGCCCTGCATGGTGATTCATTTCTTCAGGACTCGGGATTTTTTCTTTACTGGTTTATCATCTACTGAGTGAAATCAGCTAACCATTTGACTCCTCCCTCCCTCCCCCCCCCCCCCCCCCCCTCCTTTTTAAAAAAAGGATATATTATAATGGTTTCATCTACTGAGTGGAATTAGCCCTGCATGGTGATTCATTTCTTCAGGACTCGGGATTTTCTTTCTAAATAAATGAAGCATATTGTGAAGATTTTGTCTATACTGGTGGCCATTGCTGCATTCTGGATTGGTCTCCTTCATACATCAATAGTTCCACAAAGCCAGACTTGGCTGGTGCGTCTCTACATTTACCTGTTCTATGTGTGGACTTTTTGTCTTTTATATGACTGCCCTTCGCTGTTTGCACTTTTACAGGGTTTACTTGTCTCAATTATCATTTTTTTCTGCTTTGCAGCTGCCTTTATACTTGATTATATCACTGGCATGCTATGGCCTATTGATGGTTGGCATCGGTTTGATGCGCTTTCCAACCTGCCCCCAAGAAGCAGTATTGCTACAACAGGTATCTTTAAATCCCTCTTTCATTTTTTGTTTTTTTATTCGGGCCTAGAAGTGAGCAAGGCTTTTCGTTCCTTATTTCATTGGTTCAGGCACACGATATGCATCTAATAACGACATGGGATGGGTTTCTAAACTGAAAATTGCTGAGCAGTACCTCATTTTTCTAGATAGCGTTTTATGAGAAAAGATATTTGTTTTTTTTGTTGGACATGAAATGGTTACTTTTATTTAAGGAGGAAATTAACAATTTGATTGGATAGCAAGATAGGAGGGATGGTTTTTAGTTAACAGTTCTTCCCTTCTCCCAACCTTAACATCAAAATTCGTCTCTTCCAAAACATCTAAATGCTGCATACTGTTGTACAGCTTTGAAATTGTAGTGTAGACCTCACCATGAAAATTTAAGTCTGTATTTAAGTATTGCATCTGCCAAAGTGTCAAGTCCCTATCTAAATTTAATTTTGTTCTTGCGGTTATTGTAAATTACGTTGCTCCCTTTTTTTTTCTTCCAGGATGTCATTGAAGCGAAGGACTTTTTGAGGCAAAAAGGAGTTGACATTGGTTCTGATTGATCTGTTTGCGCAAATTCCGGCAATTGGGAAGGGAACAAAAAGAAAGTGTGTTTTGAAAAAGGGTCTAGTAGCAAAATCAATACGGATTACTAACTATAATTAGACACAAGCTTGATGAGAAATGCAGAGAAATCTGATTTGCTAATTAACCTTACTTTAGGGCTGTTTGTAATTTTTATAGCCTCTCATATCTGATTTGTTAATTAGACATACTTTAGGGCTTTTTGTATTTTTTTATAGCCTCTCAGTTATATACCGATTCATTTTTTGTTGTCTTTTGAAACCCTTTTGAATTGGGTTTGTGTGTTAACAAATTTGTCAATCAGTAGCGACATTAATTTTGAAACAAATACGAAGAATGTGTATATATAGCTTTTAAAAACTAACTAAAACTTGATAATGATACTGAACGAATTCTTTAGTTCTACTAGTATTAATTTTTTCACTATTTTTGAGCAATTCCACAGATATGGGCAAAACTTTCAAAATTCCTTCATAACTCTGCTTTCTTTTTCTATGTCAACATTTGCAAGTAGAGGTGCAAGTAACTGTGTTGTTTATATATATATATATATATATATATATATATATATATATATATATATATATATATATATATATATATATATATATATATACTCAGTATATCGAATTTAAATTTAAATCGTGTTTTGTTTAGCTCGGTTTGAATTAGGTTGGTTTCAATGTTTTCAACATGTTCAAGATAAAATTGCCAATTGAATTAGTAATTATTGAGTTTAATTCTAACCAATCACAACATGACATGCATCTAGTAATTAGTAAATCTGAACGTGACACGCATTTAGTAATTGAATTAGCACTTTATCAAGTAAAACCAATACCAATAATTCAATACTAACCAATCACAATGTGACACGCAATGTGTCATCGATTTTTTTATTCTTTTTCGAACAAATATTTACAAAAATCGTTTTATTTTAGAATAATCAAAAAACTTGTTTTACTTTAGGAACTTTGAAAGACCGTCTAAAAATCGTACGAGTATTATTATTGACAATTAACCGTGGTTGGTTTACTTGAGAAAGTTTATATACCGAAGAAGCCGCAATTTATTGCCTCCCTCAACATAAAGCTTAAGGAGTTACTCGTAGAGTGAAGGGACAGGCGAAGCAGCGAAAGAAGAAAGAAGAGAGAGAAACATGATTATTCCTGTTCGTTGCTTCACTTGCGGCAAGGTTACGTCTTTCTCTTCCTATCTTTGCGCCTTCTTCTTTTTCTAGGGTTTTCATTGATGATCAATTTTTTATTTAGGGTTTTTCTTAAACCCTAATTTTTTTTATTTTTTTTGTTACTTTTGGGGCTGAATGTGAATGTTTTTCAGGTGATCGGAAATAAATGGGACACCTACCTTGACCTTCTTCAAGCTGATTACACTGAAGGGTATCTTTCTACTTTTGATTGATTAATACTTAAAATGTTATTTTGTGTTAATTTTGAGTTTTTAATGCAAATTTGTCTATAGCTTGGAATGGGTTTTTGTATTTATTAATGGTTTTGAAATTACTTATTCATATTTTGCGTTTTGTCGAATGTAGCTCAGATTACTTGCTCGACTAATTGAGCTTTTGTTGATTGAATTATGCGTGTAAACTATACTTTTAGCTTGTTTTCATGGCTCTCAAAATCGTATTGGGTTTTGCTATGCAACCGTATGGTAAATGGTTAGGATGATTGAATTAGATTGACCTAATAAAGTATGATTTTAGTGAAGCTGATTCCAGTTTTAGTGGATAATAACTGGGTTTTGGGGTGGAATTCTAGTACTTTTAGGATTTTAAATTTCACAGTAGAATAAGCGAATAACCAAGAAGTCAAGAAGTTTTCTTGCTTTTAATAAGCTAATATATCTAGTTATCCACTATTATTTGACTTTCTAATTTCTGCTTGCATGTTCATTTAGGGTTTGTTTTTTTTTTTTTTTGATGTTTGTGATTTTACTCTTTCCGTTCATTCTTTCCTAAATTCTTCTGTCGACATCCCTCCTCTCCCAATGTGCATGTATTATATGTTTTGGAGAATGGAGAGACTGACATTGTGGTTGGATAAAGAAAGGGGAAGGAAAAGAAGGGGAGGGAGGAGAAGAGGAGGGGACTAGGGGAGGGATCCGAGGGAAAGGGAGGGTGGGGAAGAATGGTGAGTTTTCCTTCCAAATCTCTTCATTGTTGGAGGGATCAATTTCCTACAGATTAATCCCTCCATTTCTCTCCCCTCCAATTCCCTTCCTTCCTTATTTGTTATCCAAATGAAAGATACCCTATCCCTCCATTTCCTTCAATCCAAACACATCGTGAGGCTTGATAATGCAATTTTTGTTTAGAGTACTTTAGCATAGTCTTGTAGGTTTACCAAGTAAAGGTTCGTCTTGTAGGTGTCCTATTTTTTTATACAAAATCCTGCGCATTAGGAAGTTCCCAAAGAGGTTGAAATTCATAGCTCTTTATTTGTACAGAGTACTGGTTTCAAATAACAGAGTTTGCTGACATGCATTGCTTTTCCGCAGGGATGCCCTTGATGCATTGGGGCTGGTCCGCTATTGTTGCAGGCGAATGCTCATGACCCATGTTGACTTGATCGAGAAGCTCTTGAACTACAACAGTACTTTCCTTCCTTATTTTCCCTTGCTCACACATACATTTACGCTAAAACCACTTTCATGCATGTATCTGCATACCATGTACATTTTAGGGCTTGTTTTATATGCTAATTAAAATGCACAGAGGACAATTTTGTTGTATTGTTTGGACTTTTACGTGTTCAGTTTTTTTTGAGTAAATGCATTCTGGATCAGTACCACCCATTCACCCAATATATAGTTGTCCATGCTAATGGTTTATTCTTGCTGTTATTGTCCTCATTGAATTGTAAAGGAAGAATGACCGTGTTTTTTGTTTGATCCTAACCTACAGCTCCTCATCCAGGCTTTTATCTATGACAAGTGGTGAATAATAATTTATTGGCTTATTGTCTTAGAGCATAGAGAAAACCTCCTTTTGGTTTATATGTACAATTGCCTCTATTTGTGGTTTATTGTATTGAGCAGTATAACTGTATAAGAACCTTAAGAGTCATCTTATCCTCGATCGTCTCATTGGTTTGCATGGCTGATTGTATTGAGCAGTATAAGAACCTTAAGAGTCATCTTATCCTCGATCGTCTCATTGGTTTGCATGGCTGATTCAATTGTTAAATTTGATTGACAATCTGCCATAGAGAATCTTAGACAAGGTGTTTGCTTGATGGGTATCTGCTTGTTTGAAGCTAGAGTAGGGTAAAGTGTAAACTTCCTTCCTTGGCTGATTCAATTGTTAAATTTGATTGACAATCTGCCATAGAGAATCTTAGACAAGGTATTTGCTTGATGGGTATCTGCTTGTTTGAAGCTAGAGTAGGGTAAAGTGTAAACTTCCTTCCTTGGCAGAAACCCATCTCCTATAGTTGATAGTACTGTCATATTTTAATTCTTGCTTCAAGAGTGCAAAAATAGACTTGACAAGTTGACAGTGTAGGCTTGGCTGTGTTGGAGAAGCAATGTCATCCTTTTTTTATTCCATTACTTGATATGACTGCCCCCATTTATGGTGGCACAATGCCGTATTTTGTTTCTACCTGTCATCAACTGAGTATTAGTGTCACTCAACCTGAAGTCGTTTTAACGGGTTTCCTTCTGTTAAGAGTATCAGTAATTTGTTATAGGTAATTTTCATTTACATGCTATCTAACCTGGATTGTTTCTTGCAGCTCTTGACAAGTCTGATACCAGTTGATTGAGCTTAAGGAGGCAGTGGAAGTATAAATGAAGAATATTCATCTCATCTTTTGTTAAATATAAGTATCGATGTGAAATCTGGTGGGTTAGAGTAGAGCTACGAAAATTGTAATGATATGGTACTCGACTATGAATATTATTCTGGTCTAAATTGAGAAAGGCTTGACATGCTCTGTGTTCTTTAAAAGATTGATTTCCATTTTCGAGGAGTATATTTTAACGACTAACCAAGTTGATGATGCTTCTGTTCTTTGTTTGGGTAGCAATCAGATAGCATTATCTTCCTCTATTCATTTGCTTGGGTTAATGGCCTTAAAGTCCAATGCTATAACACCCATAATTGACTTCGTTCTCGTGCTCACTTATACCTTTGTAAAATTTTCATATGGATGACAATAAACACAGGTAATAGAAGCAACTTTTATTTAGTTGGGATAAATTATGGTTGGAATAGAAAGGTTAAGTCAAGATTTGTGCTAATTCTTGTTAATGGAGAAACGTACCTTACATGTCATAGCCAAATTTCTCATTGTGTGGTGCAAATTCACCTACTACTCTATTTATCCTTGTGTAGTTCGTAGAACTCACAATAGACATTTCCCCCTCCCCCTCTACTTCATGGCAAGTAATTCTCCATTAAACCCTAATGCTATACTCTCTCAAGTATTTTTGTTAACAAATTTCTTAATTATATACTTCCTTCATTCTTTTTTACTTGACCCTCTTCGACTTTTACACTATTTATCATCCTTCCTTTGACCATCTTTTGTGAATTACATGTAAGCAAATACATATTCATGTGGTATCTTGTTTAATTCGTCTCGATAAATAATATCATCATATCATCATATAACTAATATATAAAGCTAAACTTTTAGCTAGGTCACGAGGCATCGACACTTGGCTTTTCAACTTTTCGCCAAGTGTCGTGCCACATTGGATAGATTTAAATAAACAATTAAAAAGTTAATTTAAAATTCTATTTAGATTTTATTTTAGGATAAAAGTGTTAGTTTAGAGTTTTATTTTCAATAAAATACCAATATTTCAGAGGCACAAATTGAATTATAATTTTGTTAAAAGTTTCCCATAAAATATAGCAAATCGTCATAAAAGCACATCAATTCCTAACTATTTTTGTATCAATGATATATTTAAATGTTTGACATATAGATTAAATTTTTTTTTCAATAAACAACCCGGGCATCACACGGGGCACAAAACTAGTAACTAATATATAAAGCTAAACTTTTAGCCAGGTCACGATGTTGCGACACTTGGCATTCCAACTTTTCACCAAGTGTCGCGTATAGATTTAAATAGACTTCATAAGATAAAAAAAAAGGTTAATTTAGAATTCTATTTGGATAGAATTTTAGGATAAAATTTTAAGTTTATAATTTTATTTTCAATAAATTACCGAGATATGAATTATAATTTTATTCAAAAAATTTATTAGATTATAATTCTAAAAAATTATCATATAAATTTATTTTTTATGTCATAATATTTTTTTTGGAGTGAAGGAATTAGTTTAAAGCGTAAAACATCTATTTATAATATATACTAATCGATTAAAATAATATACTTCACAACTAATTGAATTTTATTACTACATAGACCTGTCAATTAGGGTCGGATCATGAGTCATATCGGATTGGGTCACTTTAGGTTACGAGTCAAGAAATGTTCAACCCTTGCCCAAAGTTTTGGATTCGGGTCAACCCAACGGGCTTTAAACATTTATCTTATTTAATATATAATTTGTTTTTTTTAATGTATTAAATCGAACATTTCCGCCAACATTAGTATTAATCATTACATGCCTACTAGATAGCAAATCGTCACAAAAGCACATTAATAAACGTATCAATAATATATTTTAAATTTGACATATAAATTAAAAATTTATCTTTAAATTCAATAAACAACCCGGGCATCGCACAGACACAAAACTAGTAGAATACAATTTCTAAGATATTTACTTATGAAAAATTAAAGTTATTGGTTGATAAAATTTTACATTGGCACAGAGGAAGTATACTCTTGGAGTTGTGAGGATACCAAACCTTGATAGTATGAGCGGCATAGTAAGTGTTGACCGTCTTTGACATGATATGACAACACAAAACAAATTCAACTCAAGTTACTTAGAGAAATCTGAACCAGGTATGAGCATGAATGTAAATCAAACTAACCTGATCAAATTATATAATTGTCACTTAATACATTTTTATGTACCTTTTGATGTATGATTAAACTATTCGAAATTGATATAGAACAGTACTCGAACCGAACTTGTTTACCGGATTTGCTAGCTCGAGTTGTAAGTTCTCGTAACTATGCATGTCACATAATTGCAGAAATCTCGACATCTATAGGAGATTGAAATTTACTACATATCGTAATGAGAGCTCAAATAATATATGTATGGTTAGTTAGAATCAACTAGGTCACTACCATTATGAAAAATTTTAAACCCATAAAGGAGAAACAACTTGTGTTTTGGAAGTGCTTTCTTCACTCAATTATACATAGATTAACTAATTAATAGACAAAAAATAACACTCACGTTTCTAGTATCAACCAACAATATACTAGCAATCAACCATTGGCCTTTTATTTCTTGACATAATTCCGCTTTGATTTCAATAATAACCATTTAGTGCTTGAGAGTATTGTTCCCCCCCACCCCCCGGCGGGTGTACAGATTTACACGAGTTAGGTCAGAAAGGCTTGTTGCCACGTGCTGACAGTTTTCCCAATATCTTGGCACAACAAGTCCCATATGAGGCAATCTTCCTATGACTGTGTGCCAAACTGATGCATGTGTTTGTGGTGCAAGTTAGTGTTATTGTGTGTTGTTTCCTCTATATTTTAGCTTGTTGCCCTACGCTAATGGGGAAGGCTGGCCTGGATCATACCACGGGAATCAGACATCGCACAGGCAATCTATGCTCGTCAGTGACATTGTGCTCCAATAGGCATGCCTAAAAACATGTATCGTGTTGATCTTCCATCAAAGGGGGTCAATGTACTATATGATTCACGTGTCAATACTCAATAAGGTTGAATGTTGTGCTATCAGATCACTTAGGAAAAAAAATAAAATTGACCTTACGTGGTTATAATTCTTATAAATACTTTTTTTTTGTAGATCTTACATCTTGATAATTAGAGCTTGTTCTCTTCATCTTAATTTCATTTCAATATGTTCCGTTTAATTCCTAATTTTTTCTCTAATAAATAATTCAGTAAATTTACTATTCCTCCCTCTAATCCTAAATTTTTGCAAATCACTTGTTTCATCCTTTTGTAGGATTTCACATTCACTCAAGACACTTGTTACACTCACCTATGACAATTAAATACTAGTAGTTAAATCTACTCTCTTTCCAAAAAAAAAAAAAAAAAAAAAAAAAAATCCCTTCTACTCCGTAACTGTGTCATTTGATTTCGGAGCAAATAAATCAAGACAGAAAAGCCATCATAGATTCAAAGAGGTTTCGGTAATTTATAGGAAGCCCTCAAATTTAAATTTGCAAATTATTCACAAATCTGAGTGTCATTTGCATAGGGTATTCAATTGTTCATCCAGGTTTGTTCTCTTGTTTCTCCCTCTTTCTTCAAGCATTGGATATAAAAATTAACCTCGCTATTTGGGTTTGATTTTCGTTATTTGGATATTAGTTTGTTCAACTAGTTTACTATGATTAGTTTTACAAGATTCAACCTTTTGGGATTTGCCTTGTTGATTTTGTAGTTGATTTTTGTTTTACAACCTGATTATGATATTGGAATTGTAGAGTAATATGCTGATTTCTAAATGTGATGTTTAATACTTAAAAAATTCAGCACATCTTTCCTTTATTATTTTTATGTGGGTAATTTGCATTTTTGGACAATTCTTTTGTGAATTAAAGGGGAAAGTGATTTACCCTTTGGCTTTGTAGTTTATGTTGGTCCTTTAACAGTTGTGGGTGGAAGAAATGGTTGATCACTTGATCCCATGAAGTAACATATAGAGTATAGGTGCACTGTGGAATTTAAATTCTGTTGCAATTGTTAGATGGGCTCGTTTTCGAGCAACGTTGGACATTTCGTGTTATTACTACCTCTGTTTCATATTATTTGCAACGATTTGGCATAAAGAAGAGAGTAAAAATGTCTGATCGTTGTAAATAATATGAAACGGAGGTAGTATTTATTTGTTGATTGTTGTAGCCGAACCTTTTTGTTCTGCAGAAATTGCTGAAAAGGTATTGTTGATGAAACCCTTTGTAACTAATTGACAATGTGAATGGAGTTTCAATTGAAAGTCCCCGCTATTGTTTATAATGGGATAGTTGTGGATATGATTAGCTGAAATTTGCAGGCCAAGCTTTATATAAGTGGATGTGTGGTTTGATGTTGATGATAGAGGCATGAACTTCAAAACTATTTTTTTTTAAGGGTGACGTTATCCTAGCATCCTAGATCATTTATACTCCCTATGTCATGATAGTTGTCACATTGTCCCAATCCCTCATGATTTAAGATATGGCATAATTTCATAGAAATATCCTTTACATTAGTTGAGGCGCTTCTAACAATTCATTATCATCTAATTTATAAGTTGTGGCCTTTTGGGATATTTGTTGATAAACCAATACCATATATTAGGAATGACAAGAACCTTTTCCTAACATCCTCAAATTAGTACCATAACTACTAAATTCTCAACGGAGTGGGTAGGTTTAATTGCTTAGGTCGAAAGAAGCAAAGCAGCTTATTTCTCTACATGTATTCTTGGATGGATCTTCCAAGATGTTAAAGTCAATCACCTTCACTCTTGTGTTAAGATCTCTCCAATCCTTAATTTTCAAGGATCTTGACCTCTTTGGTAGCTTGTGTGCATTCGTGTCAAAAACAGTGAATGCGAATGGGTTGGTTTCCAGAAAGGGTGTTACATATTGCATGAGCTTTAAGTTGATTGATCTGTTTGAGCTGTTAAGAGTTCGCTTATTTGTAGGATATCACAATCTGGGTGTTTTAGGATGGATGCTATCATATATTGGTGATTTTATTTTTACGTCATATGTTTGAGCTGTAAAGAGTTTGCTTAAATTGAATGAATGGTGAAGCCAAATATGCTGCATTCTTATAGAAAATAGGGAAACCAAAGTATTTGCATATATTAAGAAATAGTAATTCCGGGTTTTAGAATTTGTATCACAATCTTAAATTCAGGATTTTGCATCATTTGAGTACTATTTGGATTGATAAAAAATGAAGTTTAGGTAATAGAAATATTGATTTTAGGAATAGCTCTCTAATTTCTTCATGCTTCATATGTGCTTTATGGCATATCTTGTTCAGTTAAGTGTTATCACATCACTGAACTGGATTTATGTGTTGCATTTAAAGTTGCGTATCTCGTTTATCTATACTTAGCTACCTTAGTCCATAGTAATACTACTGTTATAAATACTTTTGTACACGAGATAGTAATTGATTAACCACAGTAACACGCCTAAATACCCTGTTTTACCCTTCCAAAATGAGTCTTTAATGGTGTTGTGATAATCTTGTCATATTAATGCAGGCACAACTATGAAGCCTATTATATCAAACTGAGCAATGTGGCTGATCTGATCAAGTCCCTTAGCTAATGTAAATGAAAGATAGAATTGTAGACATTGTTATTACGAGCTTAGGGTAGCGTATATTTAAAAGTGTGAAATTGGAGCTCAGCGAAATTCTATATCCAGGGATTTTAAGTATAGGGATTACAATAGCTCTAATGCTATCGCATTACATAAGTTTTGTTTAATATTTCTATTTGAAGTTATCAAACTGTGTGAGTGTCTGTTGAATGCCCTTCTATTGTGTTACTTGCCTAATAAAGGCATCATGATTTGAAACAATTTTGCACTTATCAATGTTTTATTTGTTCTGGCATCTATGGGAGGCTGCGTACTTTCTTATCATAAGATTTCTGCCTTGTGAATTTATGTGTCTTTCCCCGTGGATATGGGTCATTCTAATTTAGATAGCAATCCGATAGTTATTCCTTCACTGTCTGGATTCCATATAGCATGTCACATTATATTGGACAGCCAGATCTATTCTGACACTTATTTCTCCTCATTGACAGATTTAAAGATGACGTTCAAGTTAGGGTTCTGTGTTCAGCAAGACATATTGTATATGTTAGCTTGCTTTATAGGAAGCAAGACATGGATATGTTACATAATACTGCTGGCAGACAGCTAACACAAATGTTTTTAGCAATTTGCTTCTTTCACACTTCTGAATATATTCTCGCCATCACTATTCATGGGAAAAGGAACGTGACCCTCAAATCTCTCTTAATAAGCAAGCATTACATACTGGCTATGCTTTTCTCACTGCTAGAATACTTGGTCGAATATTTATTCTTTCCTGGGTTAAAGGAGTTTTGGTGGTTAAGGGTCTTGTGTTGGTTTTAATAGGTGAAATCATACGTAAAATGGCAATACTGACAGCTGGAAGGTCCTTCAAACACCTCATCAAAATACAGCATGAAGACCATCATAAACTGATAACTCATGGTATCTATCGTATTGTACGCCATCCAGGATATACTGGCTTTCTTATTTGGTCAGTTGGTACTCAAATTATCCTCATTAACCCCATATCTACCATAGCATTTGCCTTAGTAGTTTGGCATTTCTTTTCTGGACGGATACCGTATGAAGAGAATTATTTGAGGCGCTTTTTTGGAAATAATTATGGACAATATGCACAGAGGGTACCTTCAGGCATACCGTTTGTGAAATAGTCTACAGTGGTTGTTGGCATAACAATCATTCCCGAGCTGATGTGCAGCATGCTGACATTTGAGCGGGCTTGACATGCTTCAAGGATGGTAATTTGAGCTTTAGACTTGATTCATTTTGGCACCTCCTGTTTGAACGGTTTAAAAGCATGGTCTTACTACTCAAGCCAAGGGTACATTCAGAATGTCACATACGAGCATGCTGTAAAAACTGATGAAGGTGGCGACGGTAGGATAGATAGTGTAGTTGCATTTGTAATCTGACTGTAGTCATTATTTTTACTCTAGCTGTGTTGATTTAGTACTGTCTTGAAGCTGAAGTTGCATTTGCTGCTGTAAGAATCTTCATATCCAGCTTTATGTTAACAATTAATACAGTGTGTTAGTGATAACTGAAGCAGAAAGCAGTCTCTGCATCTGTTTGTGTTGGTCTGCTGTTCATCTGTTGTGGTACTAAGATAGATTAATTACATTTATTTGATTCTTATTTCACTGATTTTGGGTGGTTAACTGCTTTTTCATAATTGCTAATTCGAGTGAAACAAACTAAAGAACCCATGGCAATTAACACATTCTAATCTACCCCTTATGCGATCCTTGTTTTCTCTGCAGGCGTTCTCATCTGTTTGCTCTCCATTTCCAGGGAGAAAAAATGGCGTGAAAAAAATAAAAATGCTGTTCCAAAAGTACGACACCTGCTGAAAGCCTGAAATTGTAAGAATATCAATTTTGAATGTACGGAACAACTACTAACTGTGAGGTGAGCTAGATACATTTGAATCAACAAAAATGCTAATAAAGCTGATGTAAGTCTATCACTGTATAGAATCGCTAATCTAAAGCTATGCATCACTATCTGCTTGGCAGCAGAGGTAAGTTCTATATCGCCTAGAATTACTAAATTGAGAGTACTTTTCGACAGAATTCTACAAACATTTAGGAGTCTAGAATTGCATCATCAGAGGCTGAGGATGCCTCTGCTCCTTGTTCGCCTTCATCAGAGTTTTGCAATAAAGGTGCTGCCTTTCCGGTGACCCGCCCTCTTCTACTTTCTGAAACATTCATTTACACATGTTATCAGAAACATACAGTATATGACTTAAAAGTAGAAAAAGAAAGAACAACCAACTTTAAGGCCCAAATCATATTGAAGATTGTTACTTTTGTTACTTATAGCACTGCGTGTCATTGCCAAAAATTCGGACCACTTTAGCTTTCTAAGTTGTTGCTTCTCTTCTTCTGCGAGCTCGAAATTGGGCTCTCTCCCACACATAAATGCAGCTCTGCACAGAGACAAAGATGCCTTGGTCTTTAAAATTGACACTATAAAAGAAATTTCGTTGACACCCCAATTCATAAAGATGTTAGCACCAGTAGTATTTACATGGTAGTTAAGGCAACATGAAAGATAATGTAGGAAATAAGTAGCCGTTAATCACCCAACAATTCAAGTGGCAATTAATATATTGCAAGTCCAATGAAGGTATACTTGTAAAAATAAATCATCAAAAATGGAATAAAATGATGCTCAGTCTACACATCACAAAATCCATATCTAAAAGACATGCATACTAGTGCTTCTTTTGTACACCAACCATTCCAATCATCCCATTATATACATTGCTTAAGATATCAATACACTTATTACTTGAAAATTAATAAGATTGCACAACCTTTTGAGGTGAAGAAATCGATTAATGAACTATTCGTCATCATCATTGATACGACAAGTTCGACCTAAATTGAGTGAGCATGTATTTTCATTCATTTCTATTCCAATATAGATATCAAAATGGAAGTTTGTGGAAGCTTGTAGACAATATTGTACCATTTAGAGATCTAAAAAGCCACTTGTTTATATGATTATACTCCCTCCGTTTTTAAATATTTGCTCTACTTTTCTTGGACACGCATGCCGATGTTAATCTTTGATCACAAATATCTTTAATTATCAATAAGTATAAATTCTAACAATTGAAAATTAATAATCAATTCATTAAGATAATTCCAACAATTACCCACAAGACTATATTGCTGCTTAAAAACGGAGGAAGTATATAAATATGCACAAACCTGTCATATAAATGGGCAGCTTCTTCTTGTGAGCTAACAGTTCCTAGATGAATTTGTATCTTGTCAACCTTTATTGCTGCTTGCCACTTCTTATTCTTAAAGTAAACCCCTGTCATAGCACATTGTTCTTCACTATGTATTCGCCTTCTGCGATGCTGCTTTCGTCGTTTCACTTCTATCTCTAGAAAACAGAATGAATTACATACTCATTAGTCACTGCAGCTTGTAGAAAATCACTCTAACTAATCTGTCTTCTTCTCAAGTACATGTATCGAATGTTATACTAATGCAAACAAACCTACAGTACGTTGAGTATCCAGCTCTTTTGACAAAGTAGAACTGACAATACTTGGTTGAATATGCTTATCTTTGGAAGAGCCGGAATCATTAATTGTTACCGGCTCCATTATTTCTTCCAATGGATCACTCCCCTGATAAAAAATTTGCAACATACATATATTACACACAGTTTAGGTTGATTGTATTTTACAAGTTCTTTTCCTACTTGTTAGACTAAGTTCTTTTTCCTATTTGTTAGATTATGATCAAATAAACGAGTTTGTTGGATGTCATTGTATAACTTACCTCCTCTGCGCGTAAATTCAGATCATTGAAAGTAATGGGATACACACTGGCAGAGTTTGAGCTGTATGTAGCATTTTCAGAGGCATTTTCGTCTGTGCTGCTGCCTGCACCAATGTCACACAATTTAGAATTGGTGTTAGTTGAAAGGCAACACAAATCAACTTATCAACACTTGAAATGTACATGTTGAAAATCTGAAACCACATAAGTTCTACACAATCATACCATTACAAAGTCCCAAAAGCCTGCGCCTTCGTAAGCTCACCATAGTTTCTCTGTGTAAAGTATGGTAGCAATATAAGTGAGAGAATTACCTTCAACAATATAACAGGAATACACTATTAATTCATTTAGAACATTATCAGAATTCAAGGCACAAAACAACACAAATAGATACCAAATTCAAAGCCATATTACGGTTTGGAACCTTTACACAAAGAATGACAGTCAAACGTATAGAGTATATAGTAGTGCCTTTTCTTTTTATCACTTTTTTGTTTTTTCAAACAAAATCAGTTAGTTAATCAGCATGATATGTAAACCATAAGAACAATTTTCTAGCGAATTCGAATTAAAGAATGATTTAACATATGAACCTTTAACAATACAGTATTACAGGACCTCATTCATTCTCCCACAAAATAGGCAAAGCTAGTACATTGCTACCAAGAAAAGAACTCGAGAATCAGAATTGATGTAAAGTAAATAAACCATCAAAATCGAGTCCGAAACGACGAAAACAAGAAGCTTCCTATAGGTTTATTTTCCATGAACATAGATATTTCCACCTAAACAAGAAAAAGTGGATTTCAAAGAAAAAGACATAACCCCTTTTTTTGATTTTATTCTAAGTCTTCCCCAAGTCAAGCTAGGCTAACCTACCACCTTTGTTACAATGAAAAAACAGAGGAATTAATCAAAAAATTAATCCCCAAAAACACAATCAAATGCAGAGTAAATGATCAAATTACACATAAACTAAGCAATTCGTTGATTACCCATTAAATTAATTAATCTAGTACTACAATAATGAACCAAAAAAAAAAAAAAAAAAATTAGCAAATACTATAGTATATAATCCAAGAATTCTTAACGCAAAATTCAATCACATTAATCATCATATATAATAAGCAAAAATCACGTATACAATAAACTAATTTACTCCATACCAGTCAAAGGATTATAAAGGGTTTGAACTTTGAAGGGTTGTGAAATTTGGGTTGTGTAATATATTTTCTAAATAAGCGAATTAGGGAAAAAAAATTGTGGAAGGTGGTAAAAGGGCAATAAAGAGAGAAAAAATAAGTTGTTGAGGGGTCGATCATGCAATCTACCACCTTCCACCCTCTCTGCTAAAGAAGATTTATCCTTATCGTCGCGACATTCGGGTTTATACTCTGTTTAAGGAGAGAAGGAGGAGGGTGGTTCGGCGGTGATGGTTGATCGAGGAGGCGGGGAGAGAAAGAGGAGGCGCGCGCAAACACACGCACACAAACAATGTGAGAGAAAAGAGTGTGGTGTTGTGTTTGTGTGGTGAGGTGCGGTGGGACTCTTTATTTTTATGGAGAGGTTGATGAATGAGAGAATAATAAGGTTGAACGTATGTATGTTAGTAGTATGTATGATTCTATAATCCCACAATAAAATAATAATAATAAAAAAAAAATAGTGTATTTTAAGGTTGATTTTTATTTTAATGACCAATTTTACCCTTGAAATTGTTATGTAATTACTAATTACCTATTATGGAAGATTTGAGGGCCAAATTAAAGGGGAGTTTTTGGTATATTTGCCATGCAAATTTATTTATTGCCCATATCTTATGGTATTGTATCATCTTGCTATTGGTTATCTTGTATATTAAAGGACTTACCAAATTTAATATGGGAATATTTAATGGGAAGGATGGGATTCCTATTGCACTTTTTGTGTGGTTTCCAAATTTTGACAAGTATCCAAATTATTCAATCATGATCAAGTTCAATTTTCTTTGATGAGAGGCAATATTTTTGGTAGAACGTAGGATACAACTTTTCTATATATGGAAAGTAGGTCTTGTTGAGGGTGGATCGGTGGCCTGGTGGGTGTTATTGCTAATACCCCGAATTTGTTTATTTTCAGAGTAGTTTACGCGATAAACTTTTATTGAATAACATTTTTTAAAAAAAAAAAATTATGTGTGTATTTTAACACATTTATTAACATAACCACTTCGTATTTACTCACAAGTCGATGATAACTACAATATTGAGTATATTGGACATGAAAATCTTGGAATTATCATACAAACACTTAAAAATTCACCAATACTCCCTTAACTATCCTTCATGCTGTCACAACCTAGGATTAAAATTTGTATGGTGACTATGATATTCAAGGTTAGCTAGCTTTAGCTATCACTCATTACTCATTTGTTTGCACAATTAATATATTAAGTTGTTGGCTAATGTTGCCTGATGTTTGTCTCTTATAAACCTTTTTGTAATTACTTGTATTCAACCATTTGAACTTATTAATTGTCAGCTTAATTAGTTTATGTAAGGATAATGCAAGAAATAAACAAAGTCTTTAATCATTATTCAAAAGACTTTCAACAATTACAATTGTCAAAATAATTGTTAACTTCGAGAGAAAGGATGCATATCTTATGTATAGAGACCGAAATACGCATATATAATGACACATGACTGTTATTGACTAAGACTTCCTCCATATAATAGAAATACAATTATAAATCAACCATAACCTTATGAGTTAAATTTTATTAAGATTTAATATAACCTTAAATAAAACAAATAACATTAACCAATTAAGATAAGGCATACATTACAAAACCCCATGAAGAGATATATAGGACAATGTAGTCATTTTATTAACAAAAGATAAATACAAAGTTTGTTGGAGATAAAATACAATAATATGTATAACTAATAATGTAACCAATAACATTTATCAATATAGTACAATAACATTATCCATATAGGTGGGTAGTTACAAACATAAAAATAATACCAATATTAAAAAAAAAAAATTAAAATATGAACATAATATATGAACTTTGAAATACAATAATAGAAAGGAGAGCACGGCCACCGACGGGAATAGATGAATATGATTGGGTGTGTGTTCTGCCATACAAGCGTGTGGAGATAACGCCTCCCACCTCAAACCCAGCTCTTTGCCACCTTTGGCCTTATATATTTATTATGACTATTCCTTTAGTTTGCATTGAAATTTCTTACTTATACATATGTCACATTTATTTTGTGCATACCAATTGCATAATCTGATTATCCGTTTCATTATTATTGCAACATAAGGGTCGGTCAGAATATTCACAAATTTTTTTAACTAGTGAGAAAAAAAATTGAGTTAAAAGAGGATTTACCAATCTGTAATCTGTTTATATGATTGCAAATATAAATAAAATAAATAAATAAAAATATCAAAAATTGTTAATATGGAAAATATTGTTGTATACACCCGGGTGTATGGTGCATCTAAAGATATTGTTTGCTCATCTTAATGATTATTGCTCATTTAATCATTAATTGAGCAAAAAAATACCCTTTATTGCATGCATCATACACCCGGATGTGTATAACTATTATTGTTGTAAACTTGTAATATTTGTTAAAATTTCTAAAGAGGTAAAAGTTGTAATATTAAAGGAGCATAGAAAGTGTAAATTATAACCTAACTCACTTTGTCACCTTATTACACTATATGCCCTAACTTTATAGTGTTTTCAATTTAGTTGTTCCCATTTTATAAAAAAAGATTTTCTCATTACTTATCTAATTATTTTTTCTTCCCCAATTTTTTTAATTGCATAAAAGTGTTCGATATAAATAATTAGTGCCTAAAGAATTGTTTTGTTGCCCTTTTACTATCAGTCAACTACTCTTATTCTAAAAAAAGAGTACATATTTTCTTCCTATATTATTACGTCCTTCTGATCTCTAGTCTTATGCCTTTTCTGAGACGTACACTTTCTATGAAGAGTTGACAAGTGTTTGTGTGTATGTGCAGAAGTAAATGGTAAGGATTTGTTTAATTTCTTTGTCAATGGAAAAATGAAACTAGTGAGAATTGAAGGAGGTGTTAACAAAAGTGAGTCAATGAGGTAAAGAACTTAGATGTGGAAAATGATGAGGCGCATATAGACAATACTATGTTTAGTAATTGGCGTTTTTTTTCGCTTTTTCTATTAGGGATTCTTTTTTTTTTTTTTTTTTTCATTCGAGTTTTAATTTAACTATAACTATATGCATGAGTTTAACTCAATATATTTTAAATTACTCTGCAATCATACGAGTTTGCAATGACTCCATTTTATTTGTATATTAAACTTGGAATGCCCTCTTCACCCCACCTTCTTGCAACCTACCTTTTCTTTTGGCATTAATTAATTGTTGAACTGACCTTATCAAAACTTGTTGAATGTTAATTGAACACATTCATCTTGAAATAAAGTTCTGTTCTTTTTAGCTTAAGTTCAGTTCGGCTCCAATCAATTTAGTGCAGTTCAATTCAGTTCTTAGTTTCTTTTTTCATAAAATCAGAATAGGCCCTAAGTGATAAAAAATAAAAATAAATAAAAAAAATTAAAAAAAACATAGTTGATGAGATACTTTCCAGAAATTTTTAAAAGTTAGCTTCAAATGGAACACAATAGGTGAAATGGGCTAGTTGTTAATAAAGCCCAACTCTTGTGAATTAGGCCTAATTAAAATAACCCGACTAGCTTAACCGACTTCAAAGCTCACAATATAAAAACCACCTCGTCGTCAACTAACCGCAAAATTGTCGAATTTTCCAGAAAAAAATTCACAGGAGAGAGAAAATCGCATTTTAGGGTTTCTGAACATCATCTTTACAAATCAAACACCATGATTTACGACGTTAACTCTCATCTCTTCCGTTCCTTCCTCAGCCAGAAGGGTGGTGCTGCTGATAAGAGGTACTCTTTTCTCACTCCTTGATTTTGTTTTTCGATTTTTGGGATTTTTTTTGTCTCTTGTAATCATGTGTTAATCTTTGAGAAATGTAGGTTATAATGGTTTTTGATTGATTGTTATGTTTAAATATGTGGAAGAATTTGATTGAAATGGTGAAATTAGGGTTTTGTTTTCGTTGTAGAAGGATTTAGGTTTTGTAAGGTGTTATAAATGGTGAGGTTATTGATAGTTCATTGAAATGCTAGCTGGTAATCATTCTGTTGAGTAATCTGGGCACCAATGGTTTGTTATAAGAATCACAGGAAATTAGGAGATTGTGTCTTTTTAAGCTGGAAATGTTATTAGGACTTGATGAAAGTGTAGAATTTCGACACGGTGTAGCTGTGTAAATTGACTAATGGTAGACTTGGTGGTGGTCATGCTACTACTAGTGTGAATTCGTCTAACAATGAGATTACATTTTGCTCGTTATCGCGTTCAAATTCGCAAGAAACCAATCATTACTCATATATTGTGAGGAGGAGGCAAGCTGTAATGGTTGTTGGAAATTGTTGAACTTGCTAATAGTTAAATTAAATTTTGATTTGACTCTATTTTTCTAAGGGTTAGATTAGAAATGGATGCTGCGTAAATTTAAATTACGCCTTTTCTGTGAGAGAGTCTGGGAGACAATAGGAGAAATTTCTGACTCTATCATCTTCCCTAGAATTTGATCACATTGTTGCCCATAAAGGTATTAAGGTATCAGGACATACCATTATGCTGAGTTATTTCCACCCTTATACTCAGAATTTCCTTGCTTAAGAATCCCAAGTGCTGTTTTACACTTTAACAATTCTTTATTGACGTGGTCACCCACGCTTTGTTTAATCGTTTCCTGGCTAGGTATCCAGCTAGCTGTTTGTTAAGATTGTGTGATATGACTAATATCTGAGTTACTTCAGGCATGCATACTTTTGGGCATGATGCTTGAAGCCTGCTTTGCGCTTTATAATGTTTAATGTAATTATACAAAGCTGACCTGCTTTGAACATATTGGAGTTGTGTGCTTTTTGTATTGTTTAGTTACTCATGTTTAATCAGTATCACTATCGTTTAGAGCAGAAACTGCTTGCTTTCAACTTTAACTCTGAGAACCTTTTTGTAGTACTGTCATATTGTGTTTTGGTTTGAGGATTTATGAGACATTTGTAGGTATCGTATTGCTTGTCAGTTTCTCAGGTATCCAGTAGTCCTGAAGTTTCTTTTCATGCGTCATGCCTCTGCTTGGGAACTCTATGAGAATATGAGACATTTTTGAAGTTGTATCGTTTTATAAGGCATGAGGTCTAAGAAGGGTTCAAGTGGTTTTTGTATCATGTGGTTCCCCCTTCACAATTTTTTGCAAAACAGAAACCTGGGTTGGTCATTGGTGTTGATCAGCATGCTTTTAGTGTAATATTTGAGATCTCTTCATGCCCAATTATCCATTAGGAAAAGCCTGATATGTTGTGTGAGAGATCGAAATAGGAAGCTGTTCAGTGTAGGTTGACTAGTTTGTTCTGTCGTCTGAAAGATGACATCTTAAATATCTATCAGCCCCTCACTGTTTCTCGTGCTATTTCCTTTTAGTTGTATGCTGAATCCTGAATGCACCTATTGCACACCAATGGTCTATCCGGTCTTCGTCTGGTTGGTTGGGCTAGATTATACTATGTTAATAATGGCTTCATAGCTGATGGGATAGAATTTAAAGGATGATTTATTATTGGGGCTGGTTGCCTGGTTCACCTTTACCAGTGGAAGACATTTCAGGGGTTGGATATGATTTCATTTGCGAGTTTGTGGCTATGTCTTATATCTTCCTTATATTTGATTAATCATTTGTAACTTAGTATAGAGGGAACCAAAGAGTAGTGATTTTTAGGGATATAGAACTTTGGGTTCAGGGATCATTGCTGAATTATTTACTCTGTAGTCTTTAGTCTACTTTCGAGTTGACTGTATTGAGTAATCCGTATTCTATTTCTGGTTAACCCCTACTTTTGTACTCTAATAATACTAAATTTTAACCATGAGTTTTACTTGGACTTGCAGGAAAACAGAGGATAAGCCAAAGGAGCAGAGGCCAAAAGCTAGTGAGAACAAGCCTGTGATGAATGAGTAATTTTTGAGCTGATTGGCGGACAATTGTTTGATGTTAGCATGTAATAGCTGTAGTGACATGAATTGTTCCTTTGTGTAGCAGCTTATAATTTGAAATGGGATAAGAACTTTTAGCTTGTTATTATGTGAGAAAAAGTTCTTGTGAGTTTGTTGATTTTGAAGCTTTTGAATATCTGGTTATTTCTTTCTGTTCTAACTTCTAAGACCCTGCCTCATATAGTCTTATACAATTGAAAAGAGAAATGGTGCAATTATTTAGTAACGGAGAAGGTAAATGATATTTTTAATAGTCATTTTGTTTAACTTTTTAAGTTTAAACCAAAACACTCCAAATCCTTAGCACTGTAATTCTACAAACTTTTCTTTGAAATCAAATAAAAACTTACACCAATATCTACCTATTTATTGCTTGCAAAGTGGTACTTTGTCAGTTGGTTGACAATTAATTATCATTTAACTCTAGTTAAATTTATAAAAGTTTGATAATATATGGAGTATAGATATATATTTTTTAGTGAAGCCGAGTGGCAATCCCCAAAAGAAAGGAGAAATTACAAGGTAATAAATAATAATAATAATAATAATAATAATAATAATAATAATAATAATAAATGACTAACAAAAACAATCATCATATAACTAATATATAAAGCTAAATTTTTAGCCAGGTTACAAGGCAGCGACACTTGAAGTGTCATACCACATTGGATATATTTAAATAGACAAATTGTTAGTTTAGAGTTTTATTTTTGATAAAATACCAATGTTTCAAATATACAAATTGAATTATAATTTTATTTACAAAAATTATTAGATTATTATTTTAAGAAGTTATCATATAAATTTATATCATAATATTTTTTGGAGCGAAGGAAGTAGTTTAAAGTGTAAAACATACCTTTATAATTCATACTAATCAGTTAAAATAAAATACTTCACAATCTAATAAAATTTTATCACTGTGTAGACCTGTCAATTAGGGTCGGGTCATGAGTCTTCTCGGTTGGATCACTTTACGTTACGAGTCAAGAAATGTTCAACCCTTGCCCAAAGTTTTGGATTTGGGAACCCAACGGGTTTTGAACATTTATTTTATTTAATGTATTTTTTTTCTATTTTTTTTATTTTTTTAATGTATTAAATCGAATATTTACACCAATATTATTATTAGTCATTACATGCCTACTAGATAACAAATCGTTTTGTATCAATGATATATTTAAAATTTGATATATAGATTATAAATTTATCTTAAAATTCAATAAATAACCGAGCATCGAAATAAAAAAAGGCGCAATCTTGACCTCCTAAAAAATCCTCCAATAAAAGCTTGACAGTATGAAAGTTACGGAGTAATACAATTTTAATAAGATAATACAGTAAGTCAATTGTATGGACAGTTGTTGTGTTGAAAGGCAAACATATTTATACTTAAAAATACCGTAAAACTATTAACTTGTAATTAGTTGAAACAGGGGGTCATAGGGGTTGATCCCACAAAAAATGTGCTAGCAAGTAACTAAGAATGAGATTCAAAAATCAAAACAATAAAAGAAATGATTGGGGGTAGTTTAAGAAGCAGGAACTAACTCGAACTAGAACTAACAAGAACAAGGATTAGAAATAGTAAAGGAATTTGATATACTCGAAGATTATATATAGAAATCCATCATACATTAGTATAATCCCAAACCTATTACTTAAACCTTTAAAATAGCTTGACTCGTGGAATAATTTCTTTTGTTTCCCTTATTAATACTTAAATCAGATACAACCTTTAATAATTCTAACCAACAAGTAACCTTAATTATTTTCAATTTCTTTTGACTATGAGGGAGAATTTGAATATACATATTTGGCTTTCGAGATCCAAGGCGTTAATCCTTACCTTCTCTAAGGGAACTGGACTCTAATGTACACCTCTTGAGTTACATATTCTCAAGGTTGTCCACATATATCCCAAGGGGCAAAAGCCACATGAATTGAAATACAACGATTATTTTGGAATCCTTACACCTGACAGCAGCCTATCTTTTTGATAGGAAAATTTAGAAAATATATTATTTTAAATTACATATTAATATAATCGAAGTTTATAATATAGTTTCTTTGGATAAATTATAATTACTTTGTGCTACTGTTTCAAATTCAATTGTTTAATTTATCAACTTAACCAATACTTGTAAGTTTACATTATTATTTTAGGTGGTGAAAAATTGGAATCCTACTCCAAATATGAATCCTACTCCTGCCTCCAAACCTACACTAACTAGATTTGTCATAGGATAGGTGTTCATGTCTGTTGTTCTAGGGTAAGCAAGTCATTATTATTGTCGTCTTCAACTCTTGTGTTTGTATTACAATTGATATCTTATTCATTCTACAATTATAATAATTTATTGAATAATAATCATCATCATAATAATAATAATAATAATAATAATAATAATAATTCAGGTAATAGGTCAAGTTTAGGTCACAAGTCAGGCAATTCGAGTTGGGTAATCAGGTACAAGTCTGGATTGACAAGTGCACTTAGTGCACGAAGAACAATGAGAATTAACAAATTACCCCTTCTAGAGCTTATGATTGTGTTGTGAGGCTAATTTCTCATTTGCCCCCATTGAGTAAACCATGCATGTCAAATTGTCAATGATGTCGTATGTTTAAATACATATTACTCCATTAGAGTTAGACAATACAACAATTGATTCGGAATGAAATGACTTAATTAGAGTCGATTCTTGAACCAAGGTTGACTACTTCGAATATGTTATTGAATAAAACTAGGAGTTCATTCGGTAAGGAAAACATCAAAGTAATAGATACAATTTTTTTACGAAATACTTGCGTGACACTGTCTCCCATAATATTATTATTATCAGTTATTCACTTGTTATGTTGCATGCTCGGACATCTGCATGCTCTCTGTTGGAACAACAAGTGTGTAGTGTGTAGTGTGTGAATTTTGTGAAAAACTCAAAGTCCCACATTGGTGGGAAATGAGAGTTTTACTCTCTTTATAATATAGAGAGTGGGCTAAAGGGGTGTGGCCCTTGGGCTACCCACATTTTGTGGAGAGGGAGGACCTATATGGTAAACCATCTATCACACACACGCGCGCCGAACCGGGCCGGGCCGGGTTGGGTTGGGTCGGGTTTATTAAATAAACTTATTTTTTGGACAAGGCTAATTGCGTGATTAGTTCCTTGATTTTTGCTAAACGTTTTTGACTGATTGCATTTGACCGTTTTTATTCAAAACTGATTAATGGAGCGAACTTATGACCGTTTTAATTGCGTGATTAGTGCCTAATTAAACAGCAGCAGTTACGTTGCAATTTTTCCTATAAAAGGCGTGTTGATTTCCTGTTTTTGATACACAAAAAATACGAACAGCAATCTTCTTCTCCTCTCTATTTTTCCTCACAAAAACAAAACCCTCGAGCAGTTTCTTTTCTTTTTGGGTGTTTTGTTGCCCGGTGGTTTTGTGCAGTTCCACCGGTATAATTTCAATAGAGAAAGGCTGTTTTATCCTGGGGAACATCCGGTTTAGTACGAACTGCTTGCACCATTTCAGGGCAGTGCCGTGAATGTTCTAAAGAAAGCGACATAGTCCGCGACTCAGTCTATTTTTCGGTAACTTTGTTCTTACTGTTTTTGTTCCCGCAGTTCCGTTTATAACAATTTTAGAACATCTTTTTATTTTCTTGTTATTCACTTGTTATGTTGCATGCTCGGACATCTGCATGCTCTCTCACTGCATATTCTACTATATACATATTGAAAAAAGGGAATTTAGAAAAGCATTGAGTGCATGGATATCATGTATCCCATTGTCCCTTAAAGCTTACAAAATGAAATAGAGGGTAAATATATATCTTTAGATTTTCGAAGATAATAACTAATACAAAGTAATAAGTTGAGACTTTAGAGATAAATATACTCGTGGCAATGTATTTATTCATTTTTTTGCATTTGGATGACTCAAATTGAGTAATGCAAAACCCAAATGAACAACGAAGTATAAAAATAAACTTGAGTGTAATTTAAAACTTTAGATGTACTCGAAAACATAATGAATATTTACAATAGACATTTGTACATGGGGTAAGAACTTTAAAGAGAAAGTGAGGTAAGTGGTAGTTGGTGCTTATTCATTCATTAGTCAAAAGAGAGTATAACCAGATGAAGGTGCCAATTTTCCAGCTTCAATGACTCAATGGTGAAGTTGCTTTAGGAAGAGCATTTTTATCACTGTGGACATCCACAACAATGATGAATGCTAATGCTGTTATCCAAATTTTGCAGTGGTAACTTTGGTAAGTGAGTGGGCCATTGAGTGGGTGGTTTTCTCAAGCCATTTTGCTTTGAATCTCATGGATTTTTTTACCCTTCTAATTAATTATCATGCCCTAATTTCAACTAATTATTAGATGGCCATGAAAAGAAGTGTTTATCAGCAAAATTTTGGACTTTTAATTCTGGTTTAATTTATTTCATATATAATTATTTGACTTGTAATGATTTGAATTGTCGGATGCCAAGTAATTTGTACAAGATGATGAGATAAGAAAAAACATTTCTTCGAAATGATCTACCATCTCTTTTCTCTTACTAATGACCCGTTTGATTAAATTTATTTTGATTCTTTTCAAATGATAGAAGATTGATAAAATAAATTTAAAAGATTATTGTCCTAAAAACAAATATTGACTCATTTGTTACTATTGACAAGAATTTATACTTTATATCTAATAATCTAAGTATTCATTTGTAACGTTACAACATCAAGCAATATGATATGATAGTAAATTGGTAATCGAAGAGTGAACAAGGCTCTACTAGATTTGCATACATCTAATACATTTTTTCCTAAAGACCATATATCTCATATAACACAAGAATATTTATTAACATATACTTCGTATAACTCAACAAGTAATAAAGTGTGGATAGTTAATAGGGTGGTTACCTCTCCACGCATCTTCAATGTTAAGAAAAATTTAATTATTCGGGTATTATTTATTACATATATGCTTCATTGACAGAACTTCTATGAAAGTTAATCATTTATGATTCTAGATCAACATAATATTGGATTTTATCAAGGTATCATTGATTAGTTGATAGAGAAATATCACAAATTTATCATTGAAGGTAATATTCCTTTTGGTAAAACAAAT